TAGCGTGAACAAAACTTATCAAAAAAAGGATGTGAAGCAGCTTGTAGCATCTTCGCCAAAGCAGCAGAAGCAACTTCGAAGGTCATTACGCTGCTCGGCGCCATCAACAGTACTTCCACCTTCGGCCAGCACAGATGCTCCTCGAACACGCTCTGCGCGTGTCAATTCACGTGAATGTCAAGCCACATCGGATCGACAGAGTCGGGAAATGAGCTCACTTGATGTGGGCACTTCCTCCACTGCGGATACGGTTAGTGCAGGGTTCTCTTGTCGGCTGTGTTTTGAGAGAAATGTCAAAAATAATAAAAACCTCTCCATATTGGTGCTTTCCGAGAAGTGTAGGTACTGGGAAATTGCTCGATTGGTAACACATGCCAACATCAACCACTTTTGGACAAGGCTGCTTATAGCAGTTACTTATAAGCAAACTGATAGCACGAGAAGAAATATTTCTTCTTTTCGTGGTGATGAGGATGCAAGGGCAGGATACCTAGGAATTAAGAGTCATTTGAAACGATTTTTCGTCTTTCGGACAGGGCATAAATTTCGAGCTTCTGAATGAGAAAAAAGGCAGGCAAAGGCATTAATTCGATTCGCCAATTTTTAATATTTTCTTGGACCAAGATGTCAAGCAAATCAATAATCGGGCTTTTATAGGATTTATTGATACTTTGGATTCGGAAAAACAGTCATGTTTAACTTAAGCTTTTGTTTTCCAGGCTGAGAAATCGATTGCGGATATCGTTTTGGATAAAAGTGTCATTGAACGTTACTGTAAACGTATGGAAGCGGTTCGTCGTTCGGCACGGAAAAGCGATAAAAATGAAGTATGACACAACAACAGTTGTTCTATGTCTGGAGGCTAATGCGAATGTGCGCTCAGTTTAATTTCTCTAGGAATTTTTTGGGATCAAAATTAGGAGGAGCTGAAAACATTTGTTTTCTGAAATCATGTGAAGGTTGGTTAGAATCAGCAGAATGCGAGGGTCTGTCTTGCTTATGTTCTTGAACAGTCTTTCACGTTCATGCCAGTGCAAAAAACATTAGTTTATGATTTAATAGATGGTATCTAGTCATATCGATGTGAGCGTGAACGTTTGCTACCAGATATTCTTAGGAATCTGGGATTCTGTTGGCGTTATCTCTAGCTATGAATGTTACCAGAAATATGCCGCTGATTTTTTTTGATTCTTTCATATCTTACGAAAAGATGCGCACGATCTTGGCCGTCATTTTTGCCGTATATCTATGCAGAAACAAACCTCAAGCTAAGACGTGTATGACTTAATGGACCGAAACGTCTTAACTCAGTCATTTTCCCTGCTATTTTCTCCTTTTTATACACCTTCCTTATTTTGGCATCCTAGATCTACCTGGACGTTACAATCGGCTCAACCCAGCATGTAATTCAAAACATAAAGTAGTAACAAACATCCAATGAAAAGTCCTGTGCCAAAAATTCACTCAGTGGCGTTATCTCTCTATTACTCCCCGCTCTTAATTTTTCTGGTATATGAAATAAATCTTTTATCTAGATAGTTCAGATTCTAGCCATTTTGTATCACAGTGGTTTAGACACCTGACAAGCAAGTGTTGTTGTTGGACGCCAGAAGCAAACTTATGTTACCAAAACTGAATATTCCACTTGAAAATTGCTTCATAATATTTCGCATAAATCTATTTTTGATAGCACGTGCTTGAGTATTCCCTCTTTGCCACTGCTGGGCTTTCTCAATTTATTTTCTTGCAACAAAATTTCATCAGCGAAAGGTATTGACATTTTTTTATTTGAAGATTTTCTATGGTCGTTGCACATCTCGTCGCAACCTGTTCGATGATGATAGCTCCGAAGAGGGTTCTGTAAGAGTGGCAACACGTTCAGCCTCATGCATCCAGAAGAATCGCAGTGGTCGCTCGGTGAAGACCAATCGCGTATACATGGCGCATGCATTGCTGAACGTCTACAACACCGATCCACTGAATCCACCAAAACCACCAAAGGAAGGTCCATTCAAATTACACCGCCTCATCCGTCAAGCATCGAAATCGGACAAAAAACGAATAAGCAAGTTCAGGTAATATTTTGGTCTTTACAAATTTTTGCATGAGTCATTTTAAATACTACTGTATTTGCCTTTCTTAATTTTCAGCGTTATTCTTGGTAGATCTCTAAAAACTTCGCGATAACGGCCCTTAATTCCAGTTAACGTGGCTCAGCTTCGTTTGCTGTCTGACTGCTGAAATTTTGATTCAAAAGTTTTTACAGTAGCACGATACTTGTGCATGTAGATGGAATAAATAAGATTTCAAAAGAAGTAGTTGAAGTTGGGAGTAGAAAGCCTATTTGTCGCTCGTTAAGTGCCTCACTCGTCCTTGATACTGAATTACTTTTTGTATAGGCAGAAGGGGAGGGGAGATTAAAAATTTTAGTGTTTCTGCCTCACTGTAAATGATAGGGGGGTTTTCTAAATCAGTGATCTGCTTACAGCCGAACATGGTAGAAACTCACCTGCGACAACAATTTCAATTTTCTATTTTTTTTTTAGCTTTTGCAAAAATACAGTTTGTTATACCTTCAGGCTTCGAATTGCTCGCGAAAAGACAGGATTGGCTTCTGCGACCATTCCATCGGAAGCCTCTGGAACGGCGAGCTCATCCCAGAGCATCCAAACAAAGTCTGAAAGCCCGGAAATACAGCTCTCAAACGGAAGTGAGAAGCCCGTAAAATTAGCCAAGGAGTTGTCAGACAAGAGCAGCAATTTATCTTCCTATTCAAGAGATTCATCGGCTGATATTTTCAAGGAGCCAAGCTTCAAAAAGCCATTCAGAAAAATAAGCAAAGTAATGAAAAGTGCGGACGCTGGATCTGAAATCACTGGTGTAGTAAAGGAAGGTTCAGGTGATGCTAAAAGAGAAATATCGTTGGAAAGCGAAACAACATCATCTGAATCATCGAA